ATGGTGTCACGACAATCGAAAAAAGGATTTATTCATTTGGTGTCACGACAGTCCAATAAAAAGGACTTATTCATTTTTAAACTTTTTGAGTGCTGGTGACCTATTTCTTCAACTGTTCGTTTTGCACGGTGCCATCCGTGGAGTTACTACAAGCACCATCCCTGTGTACTGGCCGGGACTGCTGAAAGGTGTGCGGAGAGCACCCTCACCCTACTGCAACTAGTCCCTTGGAAGGCGTCTAGTGTGTGGCAATATTGGCAGGTAATCCGTGGGGGGAATCGAGTTGACAGCACTGCTGTACAGAGATCGTGATACGTCTGGCGTCCGCATCGGTTGCTTGAACGCCAGACAATTGCGATGTCGCGGCTTATGACGCGAAAAGGGCCGGCCCCGTCTGACGTCGGCGTCCTGGGGGCAGAGCCTTCCCTCGAGTCAACGACTCGGAACTCTTACGCCCCCGGGAACCATTACAGGACCCCCTGCCAAGGGAAGCGAGCATGGAACCTGTGAACAAGTAGAGGAGCGTGGACTCCCCCAGTGTCCTCCCAGGAATCCTCCTGGGGTCCATAAGACTTCCACCTAATGAGATACTGCAGCCGGTTCCTAAACAACCTTGAGTCAAGTATCTGCTCCACTTCGTACTCATCCTGCCCATCGACCGTGACAGGAGCTGCAGGCGACGATCAGGAAACGGATCTGAGATGTGGGGTTTCAACAGCGAAACATGTAAGGTGGGGTGAATCCTGAGATCCGAAGGCAGTGTGAGCCGCACCGCATTTTCATTGATGATAGATGAAATGGGGAATGGACCAATGAACAGGGAACCGAATTTCCTACAAGGTGTTCTCAGCTTCAGATTACGGGTGGAGAGCCACACCAAGTCCCCCACCTTGTACTGTGGGGCCGACCTGCGACGCCGGTCATAGCAGGATTTCTGTCGCTCCTGAGCTTTCTCAATGTTGATTTTCAGGAAGGCACTGGTATCACGAAGATGCTGTACATAATCCTCAGTAGCAGGGTTATTTGACGGAATTGCCTGCGGTAGCAGAAAGGCTGGGTGGAACCCGTAGTTGGAAAAGAAGGGGGATTGTACGAAAATTCAGCTATGGGCAACAGCGCGTGCCAGTCGTCCTGTAAATGCAAGCAGTAGCAGCGGAGGTACTGTTCAAGACAAAGGTTAATCCTTTTCGGTTTGACCGTTCGTCTGGGGATGGTACGCACTAGACAGTCGCTGCTCAATCTGGACCTTTGAGCATAGAGCTTTCCAAAATCTGGACACGGACTGGGAGCTCCTATCAGAAATGAGGGTTTTGGGGACCCCATGGAGCTTGATGACATGGCACAGGAGGGCATCTGCTGTTTCATACGAGCTGGGTAGCTTCTTGAGGGGGACAAAGTGCACCATTTTAGTCAAAAGATCCACTGCTACCAGTATGGTGTTATGATTGGCAGACGGCGGCAGATCCACGATAAAATCGATGGAAATCGTCTGCCATGGTTTTTCCGGAATGGGGAGGCTCATCAGGAGGCTGGGTCTCATGCTTGGACCGAGCACAGATGCCACATGAGGTCACATAACTCTGGACAGTTTCCTTCATTCGTGGCCACCAGAAGTGGCGGCTGAGCAAATCAAAAGTCCTTTGGATACCCGGATGCCCGGCCAGGGGGTTGTCATGACAGATTTTTAAGAACTGGCATTACTGGCCTTCTTCATCTCTCTGTACCTCAGGAGGTTGAGGTTCTACCACCAGGGCTTCCTTCAACTGGTCCTTTAGGGATAAGGTAGCATTGATTCATTTTTCCGGAGAGATGATGTGGGTCTGTGGAGGAAGCAAGTTAGACGTCTCATCCTTCCGTGAGAGGGCATCCGCCTTCCCGTTTCTAGCTCCTGGCCTGTAAGTAATGAAAAAGTTAAAGCGCTCAAAAAAGAAGGCCCAGCGTACCTGCCTAGCTGATAGCGTCCTATTCTTCTGGATATACTGGAGGTTTTGGTGATTGGTATAGATTAGGATGGGCGACCCTTGGCAAATCGTCATTCGACCCCCGAGGGGTTACGACCCACAGGTTGAGAACCCTGTTGTAAACAAACACAACCAACTGGCCCTTTCATGACAGGGACTGTTTCAAATTCCTGTGGGCTTAAGAATGTGCACCACAAAAAGTCACGGCGTCTCAGTGATTGGTGGCCAATAGGAGTGCCATGTGTAGAAATAAATCTGTCGGGAAGTAGAATTACACACCTTAGAGATAGTAGACCCCCATGGCCTGTAAAAGCTATTAAAGCGTCGGTGATGGACAACTTTGGGTATTTGGTTTTTACCCTGTTTCACGGGAGCGCACAATTGTAAAGCTTGACATGTTTGGTATCTATTTATTCAACACAAGCTCTTATATTTTACCAAGAAATGGGTATTATATTGTGCCTGTGTTCCAAAAATACACTTGAGTGTATTTTTTTTACTGAAAATCTGCACTTGATAAACAGTTGCGCTAATATCGTGCGACATAAAAAATTGCAACTGCCGCCATTTTATTTACGCTTTTCATAAATCAGACATTGTAGCTGTCACACCGGATCTATAGATCGAGAACTGAGCGATCACATTACACTGATCACTCAGCTCACGGCCTTCTCCCTGCAGAGTGTACTCGCTGTCAGTCATTTAGTCAATGTGTCTTGACAGAACTGGCAATTGAGGGTACCTGTGAGAGTGTCCCATGAAAAAGAGGGTTGATGCAATCGTAGCCAGGGTAAGCCAAGGATTACCGGGAAATGTGGCGAGGGAACCACGTCAAAAGAGATACACTCAACATGAGCCTCCTGGACCACCATCAGGAGTGGCTGAGTCTGAAAGGTAATCGGACCTGAGGCAATGGTACTGCCATCAATAACACGCACTGACACTGGGTTTGATTTTTTTTGCTGCTCTTCCTTTTAAATCTGTATCTGTTCTCATGTTGGGCAGAACTTCTGTTTTGCAGCAGACTGCCTTGTCTCTGGAATGGCTACATGGTGTCTGTGTATAGGTTTGGAACCTGAGCCAGCACTACAGGAAGAGGCACTCAGCTGCAAAGGGAAGTTCTCCCCAAGCATGAGAAGAGATGAGGATTTAAAAGGAAGAGCAGCAAAGAGAAGGGAAACTACCATGGATTACAGTAAGGCGCACATTACAGTATTGTTTTATGTTAAAAAATCTGAGGGTTTAATGTCACTTTAAGCCTGGCTGAAATGGTCTGACCAGGGGTGGATTTCTGTCTCCCCATTAGAGCCATGTGTGGTCAAACCCAGCCTTACTTTGCAAAAAACTTAACGAAAGTTTTAGACCCCCGTCTTTGCTGTAAATTTAGAAAAAAAATGACTTGTTTTGTTTCCAGTTTGCATCGTGGGTCATTGAAAACAACTAAGTGTTTTCAACAACTGCATAGATGGAAACTGCACCACTGAGTACAATGCTGCTCCAATCAGTGTAACGGTACATATTTTATCCTTGCTGGTTCACTGCAGTTTGATTCTTATGGAGACAATGCATATGCCGGACTTCAGCATTAATGCTAATGCTGCATTCACGTGCCATTGTACAGATGGTAGATATGAGTTTTCAGTAGGGATGCACCGATACTTTTCGAGTACCAGTGCAGATACTTGGCATTTTCGTGAGAACTACCAGGGTTGCAGTGGTTGCAGCTGGGACCTGGCTCTGGCGCTCCACCACTGTCCTGAAATCATTAGTCTGTATTGTTTTAGAAAAACTGTCACATGAGAATAAACAAAAATGTATCACTACTCATATCTGTGAGGACCTGGGCAAGTATCAGTACTTTACTTGAAAAAATAGTATCAGTGCATCCCTATATATATATTTAAAAAAATAAAATCATGCATTAAAACAGAGATGTACAAATCCCGGGAGCTCCTTACAAAGGACAGCTGCCTTCTAACTTTTGAATTTTTCTCTAGTCTAGTCTTGGAGCTCGAAAAGCATCTGTACTTGTACTTGTACCGAGTACTGTACTTGGTATCTGTGCATCCCTAGTTTTTAGGTCAGAAATTCCATTTGAACACCCTACCTGAATTCCTTGACTTGGACCTCCAAATTCTTAGGGCGTTCCAATGGAGTTGCATTTACCATCTGGACGATTAAGACAAAATTTGGCTCTGGGATGTTTTACTGAATTCGGCTAATAGATGTTAGATCAGATTTCCCAAACAGGTGGCACTGCAGTTTTATAGACAGGGGGGGGGTCTCAGATTCAAACTGGAGGCAATAGGAGAATTTCCAAAAATCCTGGATCCCGAGGTCTGTAAGGTTTCTGTAAAACTGCAATGCCGTCTGCTGGTGAGATCTGAATCATCGATTCTGAATCATCATCCATATATAAATATGTGAGAAAAGAAATTAGATTACATTTATTTACTCAGCAAAACTACATCTTTATGTCACCTATTTTAAAGCTAAATGCAAGCCAAAATTTTTTTTAGTGGAGAGGAAATAGAACCCTTGTCAGGTTTTGATTGCTGTCTGGGTCCCCGTTAGGGAGATTCGTCCTCTCTAATTGTCCTGGAGAACATTATCACTGAAAGTAAAAGAAAATCCCACATTTTGGGATGTCATCAGAACAGGAATTGATGGAAAGTCTTCCAAATGGGACAATAGTTCTGGTGATCCTGCTGGCTATTGTCAATCTCCCTCTCTTTGGAGGGATTTCCTCTCACTTCCTGTTGTGGCTATTGGACAGGAAAAGAAGGTAAATCTCCCCAATAAGACACAGATGGCCCAAAAAAAAAAACAGTGATAATAACCTTCCCTTACTCTATCCAAAACTAGCTCTATGTTGCAAATTAAAAGCAATAGCAGGACTGGTTAACTTGGGCTAAACCGAACAATGCAAAACAAAAGATATTTTAGTAAAAAAGATTAATATATGTCAGATACACACAGTGAGGCACACAGACTGACACACAAACAGCACAATATACATAGGATGGCTTCTTATAGACAATCCATTCTTTGCTGTGCTTCAGCTTGTCCTGGCAGTGCCATCATTCAAGGCTTCTCTAGCTGGATGTCACCGGCCCGTAGGGAGCCCACATCCTCATAGGTGGCTTGTAGACCACGGGAGATGTCTTCATACATTGAGCAGTCCTCCAGATTAAGTCCCTGTGATTGAGGAATAAGCAGATTAAAGGGAAACAATCAATTTCTGAGTCGATTTATTTTATATCTATATACTGTATATCTATCTATCTATCTATTATTTAATTATATATCTATATATAATGTATA